CATCACTTTCACTCAATGTGGTAGCCATGGCTTTTTCGTTTTTCTTTAGAGTGTTCACACACTCAGACTGAATATGGTTGTAGCCTTCACACACAAAACATTTTGTTCCATTGCTTTTCTTTTCATTTTCTCTCGGAAATCTTTTTGAGAACCCTCCTTGACCAAATTGGTCACAAAGGGCTGTGTCCCCTTTTTTAGCCATATTTGGGTTTCTCATATTTTTTTTTCAGGAATTTCAAAACGTTTTTAGTGATTAGAGCAAACTCATCATCTTCATTATCACTAGTATCACAAATAACCAAAGAATCAGAAGATACCTCATGTTTCAACGCAAGCCCTTTACCTGATTTCTTTTCTCATCGATTCAGCCTAAGCTCAAAGGTTTGCAGAGATCCAATCAGTTCATCTAGTTGCATCTTGTCAAGGTTGTGGCATTCTTCAATAAAGGTAGCTTTGGACATGAATCTTTGAGGCAAGGAGCACAACACCTTCCTAACAAGTTCAGGATCAAAAAAGATTTTACCTTAAGCAAAACGCTTATTAGTGATATCAGACAATCTGCCATGAAAATCAGTAATTGTTTCATTATCATGCATAACAAGATTTTCATAATTCATGATTAAATCTTCTAAGCCTTGTCTTTTTCACAATATCGGTTCCTTGATTTTTAACTTGGAGTCTATCCCATGCATCCTTAGCCATTTCACAGTTAGCAATATTTTTTTATATGACCTATACTAACAGCATTAAAAAAGGCATGAAGTGCTTTAGAGTTAAAATTAGAATCTTCTAACTCAGCCTTGGTCCATTGATCAAGGGCTTTTCCTTTACTCCTACTAGCTTCAAAAGTTTTAGGTTATTGCCAACCAATCGCACAAGCATTCCACCAAGCCCTCTCATCCATAGATTTTAAAAAGGCATGCATCCCATGTCTCCAAAAGGAATAGTTGGTTCCCTCCAACACGGGTGGTCTATTGGTAGACCTCTTTCACTGAAAAAACTCATGGTAAACAAACGGTTAGTGTGGTCACACAAAGAATAAGGTGGTCACCCACAAGTTTGTAAGACAAAGGTGACGACACACACAAAAAGGTGATCACAATAAAAAAGTTCAACACCAGTGTGGTCACACAGCTTCAAGGTGGTCACACAAGGTCAATAGTGAGAAAACTGCTCAAAATTGTGAAATAAAAGCAAAAATGCAATAGAGACCAAATCAAGATTTAAGCACAAATAACAAGCAAGGATCAACTGAAATAACTCTTCAGAACAAGCTCTAATACCAATTGAAAGTTTTAATCACTTTACCAAGTGTATTAAACCTAAGCAAAAAGGGTTACCAAGTTGATTTTAGCATTTGTTTATCATAAACATAAAACAATCAAATATGAACTGAAATAAAGAACATGAAGGGTTTGTATATGGTTCGGCAAAATGCCTACATCTATAGGACCAAGTCCAGATGAAGCCAATCCACTATGGTAAACATTTGTAGTTAAATTACAAAGCCAAAGTTAAGCATCAGTTGCAAGAACACTCCCTGTTTTGCAACGCTTCAAACTCCACCCTTTGGTCGAACTTCGAACTACCATAGCAAGCTTCACGTTCACAAGACCACCTAGTCAGCCTTAAGCTCCTCTCAAGGTACAACAACGAAGACACACTTCAGCTTCAAAAGCTTGATATCCCATCAAGCATCACAATTGAAACCCACGTTCCAGCCAAGAACAAATAAACAAAGTTTATCCAAGGTAGTTGTAAGCCTACATAAGGCATACGAAACATGATTCAAAACAAAAGAAACCTCAAGGAATTTTTAGAGTAATATTAGAGGTATATTTAGGCTTAAAAAGAATTGTATTGGAGAAGACAAATATATAGAAAACTTGGGCTCCAATGTAAGGGGATAGGTGGCCAAAAAGATACTTTATAATTTTACCTTTACGAAAAAGTTTATTCCAATTCTCTTAGGACCACCAACAATTGTAAACAAACTTTCCAGCACATTACATGAATAAATGACAAGTGTCATGGACCATAAACAATATCTTATAAAGAGAATAAAAACAATTCATGGAATAACAAAATGCAATATGTGTTAAACAAAATATCTACCAAATACAAGTGACCACTCAGACTTTGAGGAGCTCACACGATATAACAAAAAACTGTCTTAATTGAAAGTGGTCACTTTGACATAGAGTCGTCACATTGGAAATGAAATAGAAATGATTGTGCAAGAATCAACATGAAGTGCTTATACCACGACTAGTGTTACAACACTAGAATCATAAGTTAATAAATAACTTACAAGAGGAATGAGCTTGCTGATTGTGAAACATTGTTGAATTATTATAAAAGACACCAGGTTGTCAAGACACTACACTGTCACAAGGATACATAGAAGAGTTTGTGCTTGTATGAACAAGATTTGCTTGACTATTCATTGGCATCTGTTGACTGGGAATTGCAAACATTGGGGATGAACCAAAATTGGTTTTACGAATCCGGTAGAAGAGTTGTAATTATGCTGGTGTGGTTGTAATATGGTGTCTGTGTTGTGTTGTGGACCTCCAAAACTAGCAAATGGTGCAGGTTTAGTATAGGAAGTAGGGGTGTTGTTGAGAGGATGGATCAACATAGAAAAAGTTGTGATAGTTTTGAGATGTGGCCATAGCATCTTAGAGAGCACCATTGTAAGCTGAATTTTACATGTGGTAGCATTAGATAGTTGAGTGTCCAGCTTTGTTACACACCTAATAGATAATTTTTCCTCTCCCTGTTCCTCTGCCTTTACCTCTTCCGTATGCAGTAGAACCAAGGGGTCTAGGACTGAAATTATTGATGGCAAGATAAGGTGTGAATGGGTGAGCAGGTTGACCAGGAGCATTGTAAGTTTGACCAGTGACTTTGTTGGTTGGAAAGTGTGGAATAGGTGATGTTACATAGGGTGGTGGTATAACATAAGCAGTGAGGATTTCCGAGAGATACCAGTGAGGGTGCACCACTACCCAAATTTTTAGAGGTCTTTCCAATGTTGGAGTTGGACTGAGTACTTGTACCAGAAACATTATAGTAGCTAGGACTACTCATTAGAGCAACATTTGCTGAAGTGTTGTAAAGGTCCACAAAGTTGAATTTTTCTAGCCTTATCTCATATTTTTGAAACTAAAACTGAGCCTCTTGTAAAGTAACAATATCAACTTTTGACTCCATTCTAGAGGTAAGCATAACAACAACTACATCATACTTAGGATCCAATCCATCCAACACATATTGTAATAGATCCTCATTAGATACGATTCATACACTGGTAGCTAGGCTTTCTTCAATGTCTTTCATTTTCTTCACATAATCACCAATACTCAAATTCCCTTCGTAAGTAGTTTGAAGCAAATTTTTAAGATGTAAAGCCCTAGCATTTGAGTTTGTAACAAACTCATTCTCTAAAGCTAGCCAAATTTCAGTGGAAAATCTACACTTAAACACATAGCAGAACATGCTTTCGGAAATGGAGGCTAGCAACTAGTTTACTAGGAACTTATTAGTCCTTTTCCACATTATGTAAACCGGATTAAGACTTTCACCAATAGTATTAGTGCTTGTTTTAAGCTGACCTAAATCATATTCAAGCTCAGAATCACTAATTAGAATTGGAGGAGGACAAGGAACTCTACCTAGAAGATGATCTTCCAATTTGTGTGAGCCAACAGTAAACAGAATCTGAGAACTTCAGAATTTGTAATTATTTCTTGTCAGCTTAGGACTGATCACTTGTAAGCTCAAAGAAAGAGTTGAGGTGGTTCGATTTTGCAACTCAGACACCATTTTTCCTGTGTCGTTAAGCGAAGAAGAGGAATTAGGATCTGATACCATGTGGAAATGTTCTTATGGATTTGAGAGAAAAAGAAAAGTACAAAAGAGTAAAGTTGTTTCTGATATTGATTGTTAGAGTAACTTTTTAGTGAGAGGGAATCTTTTCCCATTTATACAAAACTGTATAACAAGAACTAAAGCTAACTACTATTAACGTATTTTCTAATTTCTTTATAAAGCAAAACGACATCACTTTGTGAAAGTTCATCTTGCTCCTGTTACTTGACGCTTTTACACTTGCATCCCTTTTTGGTCAACGAGATCCATGTCCCTCTCTTTTTATTCATGAGAAAATTGAAGTTTTTGATGCTAATTTTAGTGGTTCTTCTCTCTTTAAGAAAGTTCCTAAGTCTGAATATACAATCCGAAGAAGAGTTGATAAATCCCTAGTTAGTTGGCTATTAGCTTCAATTTCTAAATCAATGTTTGAACACATCTCTAAATGCACTTCAGCTTCTTAAATTTGGTGTACTTTAGAGTGTGAATTTTAATATGAGTCTAAAGCCAAAAAAAGATGCATTTGAGAAGCTTATTATAGTCGACAAATGAAGACAATTAAAGCATAAGTGAGTATATTTTGAAAATGAAGGAGATCATAGATCAGTTTTCAGCTAGTGATCTAGTGATAACTGATGAAAAATTGCTCTCATATACTTTAGATGGATTAGGATCTAAATTTTATGTTGTTCAGTCTTCTTCCTAGAATTGATTCAATATCCACTACAAGAAAAAAATCTTTCCTTGACAGAATTTTTTGACTGTTCTAAAAAAGGGTTAAGAAATTTAATCCTTTACAAATTCTTAACAGTTTATGAACTGTTAAGAATTTGACATAGTCCTTCACCTTTTTATAAAATCCTTAACAGTTATAAAAAGGTCAAGGACTATGTCAACTTCTTGACATAAATTGTAAAAATTTGTAAAAAATAAATTGTACAAATTTTTTCTGACTTTTATAATCTCCTTGTCAGGTTTTAACTGTGAACGATTAAGTTAAAAAAACAAAAAATTAAATTGCACTGAGGCAAAGTTTTCCACCTCAAAATTTTCACTAAGCCAAATTCTCCCCGCCCTTTAAGTCAAAGCTGGTTCAGGGTTGTAAAACATTAAAAGAACCCATTTGTTCTGCCTAAATTCATGCGCCCAAAACCCTTTTCTTCCGCCCAAAAACCAAAAAAATTTCCCTCTCTTCCGCCCAGAATCTCTCTTTCTCGCTCTTCCATTGATCAAAATCTCACTCATCAATTGATCTTTTGTTAAATGCACGCTTGCTTGATCCAATCACGTGATCGAAATAATAGCTAGATGAAGAAACCTTACACTGGTCGTGAACTTGATCTTGAGTATCGACATCCACGACGTTGTTTTCTTGTCCTTCATCTACGTTGTCGACTTCGTCGATCTTATCCTCGATGGAGGAACTAAAGCCCACGGAATCAGAGGCACCGTCATTTAGCAGAGGCTTGGGGTAGCCAAGGAGGTGTTACCGTTGAGAGAGACGCGTGTGGAGGGGAGAGACTGAGAGGAGGAGGAGCGCAACGATAACGGCGCACACGTGTACGGGGCCGGCGACGAGATCTGAGACTTCGTAGCATTTCCGCCGTTAAAGATGCCGGAAGATGGTGACAGTGACGGACATGATTGATGGTGTTCTGATCAGATCTGAGGTAATTTTTTGCTCTTCCTTTATTAATTTTCGTTATTACTAGCTCTCGATATCGCTAGATTTAACCATAATTCAATTCCTTTGTTTGTTTATTGATAATTTGCAATCTCTTCAGTATTGTTATGTTGTCAGTGTTTGAATTATGTTTTTTGATGATCTGTTGTTGTTTGTTTACTGTTGTTTGTTGGAATTATTAATTTCAAGGTGTATCAATTGGTGTGTAGGATACGTGATAAGTATGAGTTGGTGAACATTCTTGTTGGGTGTTTTGATTGAATTTGTTTGTTTGTGTCTTCAAATTAGATTTGGGTGATTTGTTTGGAGAAAAATATTAACCAAGTTTGAGACAAAGAGTAATAGAGTTAAGTGACTGAGTTTCCACAGTAAGAGACCATAATTTCCCATCTCAACCATTTACAACATATTTGTTCTTAATATCTGTCATATTCAATATTGTTTACTGCTTTCAACATATATATTTGGCTAAGTGTTTGCAGGCAACAGTTGATGAATTGGAGGACAAAATTATTGGTCTCTACTTTGCATCTGCATCTTGTCCAAGAAGCCAGAGATTCACACCCATTCTTGTTCAAACCTACAATGAAATCATCTCAAAAGACAAGTTTGAGATCATACTTGTCTCTTTAGACAATGATGAAGAATCTTTTCATGGGTATTTCTTTACTATGTCATGGCTCGCTATTCCACATTCCAATGAAACAGCCCGCCATGGCTTGAAGAGTTTGTATTCTGTTCAAGAAACTCCCCATCTCATTATCTTGAGTAAGGAGGGTGACGTAATGAACAGTATTGGGCACTTTCTTGTTGCTGGGTTTGGCTCATTGGCATATCCTTTTACAAAAGATACAATCAAGGAACTGAAAGATGAAGAAGAGGCTCAAAAGAAGAACCAAACTTTAAGAACTATATTGGCAACACCTTCTTGAGGTTTTGTAATTTCAAATGATGGGAAAGAGGTAATATATTTGAATATAAGTTTTACTTGTACCATTGCTTTTATATCTATTGCATTGATTTGATTGATCAAATTTCAAATGTATTGGATGATTACTTTTTCTGCAATTTTATGGCAGCTGCATCATCTTTCATGTCTTTTTTAATGTTCAAAGTTCTCCAAACTTTTTGTATTGTAGTATTTTGTGTTTGTATTAGATTCTATAAGTTATTACGACTAATTGTTTTGGTTTCTATTCACCAAGTAGCCTATGAAAGAATACATAGTTTTAAATTATCATATAACAGCAAAATAAATTTTTACAATAATCCATTATTATAGAAAAATGGGGATCAAAATAACAATTCAACTCCAACCTCCTTTGGCAAGATAATTTTTTACTCTTTACAAAGAGCTCTTTATTTCATATTCAACTTTATGCTGATGTATGTCCAAAGCTGGTTTAGTAGTTTTTGGAATGGAATTTCTTGTCCAAATTTGTGATATTGTAGGCATTAGTATGAATTCTTCATTAATAACAAAGCTTACGTTTTTTTAAGTGGTTAATCTCTAAATTTTAGGTACAAAGGAGGCCCAACATTGCCAAGAAAGATGATTTGTGAGGGCATTACCAGGGAGAAGAGAGTAGAAGTTTACCCACTTTCTCTCAATTTGAGTGCCTTCCAATGTTTAGTCCACACATCTCGTCTTGCTGAGTACATTTTGCAAGATTACAGTGATGAGATAAACACTAAAAATCCTTTAGGAATGCATGTATGTGGTTTTTTTTTTTTTTTTTTTTTTTTGTTTGTTTGTTTCTTTATCATTCTATTCTTTTATTTGAATTTTTTTTGTTTTGTTTTAGCGTTGTATTAAGGTTAACTTCTCAATCAATTTATATAATATTCTGAGATATGTTGTGACTGTATATGACATAATTATTATTAATAAAAATTTATTATTATTATTATTATTATTATTCAATTTTATTTTTTTTATTTTTTGTTAAAAACTCTTGATAGTTCGAAGATTATCAATGATTTAGTTAAAATTCAGCTAAATCTTTGACAGTTATCGAATTGTCAAGAATTTGTCAAGAAGTCCTTGACAGTTCAAAAACTGTCATGACCCTTTCTTGATAGGGGTTACAATGACAGTTCAAAAACTATCATTGTATCCCTTTCTTGACGGAGACTCCCTGGCAAGAAAGACCTTTTTCCTTATATTGATCCATTCAAGAAGCATAATTTATGTTACAGAAGTCATTGTTTTAAAACCTGGACTAGAGGGCAACTTGTTTTGTTGCTCAGGTCATGGGTCAACCGATCTAATCGGTTGGATCGGTCGGTTGGATCGATGATGTCAGCGATAATTTTATTTTTAAAAAATTACATATTAATCTTTTAAATTTTTTAATATATTACAAAAATTCTCCCAAAAATTTAATTAGTCCCTAAAATTTTTGTTTATTTCAAAAATGCCCCAAAAAAATTACTATTAATCTTTAGACCTTTGACATATCTCCAAAACACCCCTATAAAATTATATATTAACCCTTATAATTTTGAAATATTGTAAAAACCCCTTAAGACCTAAACTGGATCGGAAAAGCTGTCAAGTCCTAATCGAACCGGTCGATCCGGTTCGGTTTTTAAAACAAAGACAGAAATATGAACTTTGAGTTGAGAAACATAATACTATTAATTCATTGTTGCCTATGGATTCTCATGTGAATTTAGATAATGAACTGAACTCACGTGAGAATCCATAGGCAATAGGGAATTAACAGTATTATGTTTCTCAACATTGAATCCTGCTGGTCACATGGGAAGCATAATATTGTTAATTCACTGTTGCCTATGGAAACATAGCCAGATGGCCACGGATCTTTTGTACCATCTCAAAGTTTCTGAAACTTCAATTCATGGTCCTCATACATACCACGATCCCTTCCTTTTTCACCACAAAATTACCTTCCTTATCAACCTCCTGCCTTTAATTATTATTAAGTTTTAGCTAGCCATTTTAATTACTTGTTATTAGTTAGTTTACTTAGTTGTTTATTAATCAATTTGCCAATTTTCCTTTGCTTAACTCAAATATACACTAGGTTATTAGTCTTGCTCCCTGTGGATTCAACCTTACTTACCACTAACTATGATACTTTAATTTTGTGGTCGTGATGACTGGCTCGACAACAAACTTAGTTAGTTCTTGCAATCTCCTATTGAGCTTCACTGGCAAGCTTGTAAGAGAGTACTCAAGTATATTGAAGGCAGTATTCCTCATGGAATACTAGTCAAAATAGCAACAAATTTGAGTATAGAGTGTTATGCACATGTTGATTAGACAAGTAGTGTTCAAGATAAAAGGTCCACAAGTGGCTATTATGTGTTCTTAGGTCCAGATCTAATATAATGGAGTTTTAGAAAATATAAGGTGGTTGCCTTTCCTCTACTGAAGCTGAGTATAGATCATTGACAAATGCAGCAATTGAGATTGCTTGGTTGCAGAGTTTAACCCTTGCAAAAGCGTTATTGTTGGTCATTTTTAAACGTTATCTTTAACCCATTTTGTAGTAGTGTTTAGTCTTAGTTGAAAAAAAAATAAAAAAAAATCATGTGAAGTTATTGTAGGAATTAATAAACTGAATATAGTACTTATAGCCTTCAACAGATACAAAGCAACATGACCCAAAAATCATTATTAACTAAAGATGATAATAGGTTTTATGTGAAGACGATGGACATGAAGTTTGACTAGTTTTTCCATTTTGACATGTTGGACAAATTGTAATTTATATATAGAACAAGAAGAGACATTGAATGATTGTAATTGATGCATGCAAATGCAACACCTAATTTTACCTCACTAAATTCTAATGCAAAGTCGGGTAGTAGCAAAGAGCAAGTAAGGGTCTTTCCCGTAGAGGAGTTGTGAACTTAATTAATTATCTACTTTTGACAGGGTTTGTCAAGATTTATAAAAACTCAACAAAAACTAACAAACTAAAATTAAACAAAGTAAAATAAGCAAACAATCACTAAAAAGATGAATAAGAGAAGCGAGATTGAAGGTTTATTCGCCACCTCTAGACACGAATTACATATAATAAAAGCACTTTTTATCTTTCTACCCTCTTGATCACATCAGCTCAGAAAATACCAAATGTTGATAAATCTTATCGCTCCTTACTGAATCATTAGACTAGACACAGTCATAACCTAATTCCCTGTTTATTAAATAACCTAGGATACGATTTCTAGATTCAAAGTAATAAAAGTATTAAGTTGCGAGAGACCTACTGAAACAAGGCTAAACTCATATAGTCAATTTAGTTATCTTGAGTGATTACCCCCCATGTATGCAGACATACACTTTACCACTATTCACAGAGAAATAATGACATAACCAAGAGGGATCAAAAGATAAATAGATACAAATTTTATTAATTTCAAGACATGTCTAGAGCTTTGAAATCACTCTCAATCACAAAAGAATTAGTTACTCATAGAGACGAATAAAAACATAATCATATTAATGAATTACAAAATAACAATAAGGGATAAGAAAAACTTAGGAAATCTTAGGTAGAACAATGGAGTTGATAATGATCTTGTAATGACTCTCTTTCTAGCTAATATACTCGTAAAATAACAGTAAAACTTACTAAATATATATAAGAAAATATATACATATAAACGAGTATAAAATTATGGGCCCATATTTAGTTTTCTTTATACACAAAACTTTACATGATATAATAAACTCTCAAAATAGTAACTCAACAGTTTTTAACCAACCCTTCCGTTGCGTGATGTTCCAAGTGACCGCATCTCACTTATTTCCTACAAAAATATTGAAAACAATGGGGTGAGCACTAATTGCTCAGTAAGTAAACCCGCTACGCTGCCGTTCTCTCTCTGTTGCTTAAATTCTGAATTTCTTTCCTTACTTCACACTTCCCCATTCTTCTTTATTCTTTCATTACTCTTGCTCTATTTTTCTCTCTGTTCTTTCTCTATTCTAATTTCCCACTACTCAGATAATGGGCATGGTATTATGCATATATATAATGCAAATGCACAAATATATAAAATATGCATTTTCTTTTCTATTTTTCTTATTTTGTTTTCTGTTTCTTTTCTCTGTATTTCTTTCTTTGCTTCCTTTTCTAGTCTTTCTTTCTTTCTATTCTTTCTTCTCTTTTCTTTCTTTCTTTTCTTTCTTTTCTTTTCTTTTCTCATTCCTTTCTTTTCTTTTCTTTTCTTTCTTATTCTTCTGCCGATCGGAATCGGTTGAGGCATGAATTTAGAACCTTGGCCGTGTGAGTGTATTCTTGTATCCTCGGTACAGCCCTCATTCACATGCACTCTTACAGACTGTACCAATTCTTCTTTCTTATTCTTAGGCCACTCACTAAAGGCGGCGTACACGTGGGGAAAACTTTTCTTGTCACTTACGGGTTCCCCATCGCAACAACCTTTTCTTCTTTTTATCTTTTTATACTTCTTTAAATAAAATTCAGATTTGAACTTCTTTAATATTCAAATTTCTTTCTATTTACTCTTTAACATTCTTTAGTGCTTTTTCATGCTCTTACGAATGTGTATGCATGTAGATGGTTTCATTCTTATATTATTTCTTCCTAAATTCACATGTTTAGATGCAATAATGCAATATGGAATTCAAACATGTCATTCTTTACCATCTACAAACTCATCTCAATATAACACATAAGCATACTCATACAAACACTTCTCTTTGACATTTCATCAAACAACTTATGTGCACAAAGTAACTCTAATTTGGCTACACTTCTATCTCTTTTCTAAGCCACCAAAAATTGGGAATAAAACCCTCCATATTTAACGCCAAACCCGTCCAAAATATGCACTCCAAAATTTCCACTCCAATTCTTCCAAACTTCATCCAAACATTCATCAAACATCAAATACACCAACACAACTTCTCATGGATAAGTTATAATGATCATTCAACACCAATCCATTAACAATTCTTCATATAAAACATATATATGCATAAAAGAAATTCTCTACACAATATTACTTAGGGTAGGATTTACTTACCTTATATGTGAGCAATCCAACACTTTAAAAATCTTCTTTGATCCAACTCTCTTTCTCTTAAATCCTATGAACACAAATCATCAAAATTCAACACTTTAAAAATTAAAACTCACTTCTTAGTGCAAGGATCTTACCTAAGGATACTTGGGATTGAAAATCCACTCAAAAGTACCCAAAATCTATGAATTTCCCTTGAAGAAGAATTGAAGAAATTGAGAGAATATGAAGGTGAAGGTCGCGTGAAAATGGATGAAGAGTGGCTAGGGTTTCACTCTTCAATCCTTGATATAACATAATATTATATATAGTTTCTCATTTTGCCCTTGCACTTTCTTTAAAATTCCATCTATGTCCCTTAGTTAATAACCATAATGCCCTCATTTTATTGCATTCTCCATGAAATTCTATCTCTTTTAACTCCCCACAATTTCAACTAATTTTGAATGAAAAAACCATTTTACTCGTAAAGAAATTTTAAGGCATTTTCTTCACATTTTCTCAAAATAACTTTAATAAAAATCAACTAAGGGTATAAGGGCATAAGTTAAGTTACATACCTCAATGTGGGCGTTACAATTCACCCCCTCTTATAAGAATTTCGTCCCCGAAATTCAAACAAACAACTCGAGATAGCGGTTCCTCGTGTCTTCTTCTACCTCTCATATTGCTTCTTCTACCTTATGATTCCTCCATAGGACTTTTACGAGTGG